TATTTTTGCTTGCAAGGCCATGCTTCCTAAAGGAAATACTGATCAGATTTAGAAAAAATTAATATCTAGTAAAGTTCCTCAAATCTGCTTATACCCTCTGGACCAGTGTAATCTGTGTAAAGCCATTTCTGCTGTGTCCCAAGCAGCTAGAATCAGTGGAATCCCAACTAAAGATGGTCCTTCATCCATTAGTTCTGTTTGGCGATGTTTATGGAGCCTGCTTCCACCCCCACATTCCAGTTTACAGCTGCTGGAAGATTGTTGTGATCTCTGTGGTTGAACATTAAAGTCGTCGATTTTCTCCTCCTGAAGCCACAGTTTGTGTGAAATTAAAAAAAAGATGTTTTTAAGTCTGTCCTACATTTTTTTTATTACATCTTGTGTTCTGTTATTTTTCCTTCTTCAACAAATGTACTTAAAAAAAAAACACTAAAGTAATGGGAGATCTGGAATCAGCATTTCTGTCTGACATCTACAGTTATTTCACATTTTGTAACACAGGGTATGTTTAAATCGGATACAGTGAAGTTAAAATACTGGTATCTTTCTCTGTCCCATTGGCAATGCAGCTAGAGATGTATCAGGCCTGCAAATGAATTGACACTTGTTTACATCATGCTTATTGATCAATCATTTTATCTTTCAATAGCAATAAATGTTAATTGAGAAAGCAGAGTCATAAAAATCTGAAATCGTCACATCAAGTGGTATTTTATTCTTCAGCAACAAATCTGAAATATAGTAATACTGTAATGAGAACGAAGAACCTTTATTTTATTAGATCATGGAAAACTATCCTTTTATGGTACAGCAGATTAGTATAGCATCAAAGTAGGTGCTATTGATTTTTGAGTTAAGCAAAAATATTATTGCTGCATTGCTGCTTGAAATAAAGATAAATTACAGAAGAAATATAGCATGGTTTTGTGATTTACTTAGAAATATTCAAGCATTAAACAAAACATTGAAGATTTTGGCAAAACCTCAAGAGGAAAGCTTTAATAAACAGATGTGCTTTCAAAGAGAACATTAAACATCAATTTAGAATATTAGCTGCTTCTTCAAATATTTATAATTACTGTCTGAATGTGTTCATGTAAGACATGTCTGCTGCCTTTGTGTTTTACCAGTGTTTTAAAAATGTCAATAGATTGAATCTTTAATTGAATCATTAATTGGAATGGCTATTCAAATTAATACATGGGACTAATGTGTTTTATTTCATCAACAAATAATTGACTCTTCCTCTTCCTGTGATGCCCTAATGAGATCTGTAGCTAGTTGCCTTGGTTATTTTTAACTACTCAAACAATAACATGGCCTCTGCCCTGCCTTACCAAATGAAGAATTGAAAACCAAAATGGAGATTTAAAAAAAATCTTTAGAATATCCAAGCTTTGACTATGAATAGTCTATGAAATTGTGAGATGTTCCACTTTTTCCCAATCAAGTTGTAGTCAGTGGAATTGGTCTCGGTCCTGAATGAACCTTGAGACTGAGCTTTCAGACATGGCTAGAGTCACAATTCGTATCGCCATGTCATGGCAGTACTCTAGAACAGGGTGTTTTATGGCTTGGATCTGTATCTGATCTACAGCAGAGACCATTGTCGAAGATTAAAAAAACAAAGCTCTGCCATTTGATCCTTATTTCTCCTTTGGCTGCTGGTATCATATCTGTATCGTATACAGTATGGAATCTCCTCTGGTCTTTTTCTCAAGAGCCCAGGGGGAACCACTTCAGCAGTATGGCTGGGTGGCTTTTTCCAGACCAACTCAACCCTTTCGTGTGAATGAATGCACATGCGCTTCATTTTAGCTGGCGTGTTTGGGTTCTGAGGAGGGGTTGGACACCTTGAGGTGGACCTTCATAATGCTTTGTGCCTGCTTTTCCTCTGTGGTATGTTTTGTGTCAGCAAGGTTCTACAGGCTGCTGCTGCACAACCCTGAAAGTTTAATCAAACCCGTGAAGAGTTCTGTGCGGATCGGTCTGTTCTGCTCAGCCTACAAGCTCGGCTTCAGCTTTTTGCCCTATTTTTCTTCGAACTACTGTAAAAATCCACAAGCGCCACAATTTATTTATTAGTCTTTCTTCAAAAGAAATAAAAATTGTCTGTTGATTAGACCATTTCTCCTATTTAATTGTTTCCTGATGTCAGTGCACTAACAATACACAGTGCTTGAGGGACTTTGAGACTATAGCAATAGGAAACAGCTGTGCACATGTGAGACAAAAATAAACACTAGAAGCTGCTCAAATTAGCCAGTTGTCCTTTCCCTTTTACCACAAACAGAAATGTGAAAGGGGTGGGGGGAGACCTACCTCTCAATATTTCAATATAGTGTGTAGTTATCATGGACCTCATAGAGTGTTAAAATGTGACAGAGTTAATACAAGCTTGTTTTTGTGTAATACCGAAGATTTAAGCCTACAGTTCAAACTTCTCTATTGTAAGTGATCTTGAAACATTGCCAGTCAGAAACAATTGTATGTGTCCAACAGCTTTTTTAGATAATATTTATATTATTCTGCTGTTATTGATGTTTAAATGGTTTCTAAAAAATGGATAACTATAGCTATATAGTGTACAGATCATGCTAAAACAAGATTGCAAAATGTAAGAGCATATTTTAAGGTCTTTGGCCAAAATTGAGTTTTTTTTGCAGATTCATTGCATCAGAAAACAATCCGTCCAGGTCCTGTTCAGGCGCACTGTTGGCCTGATCCTTTCCCAGACTCAGTGGCATCTGGCATGGGAAACCCTGTTTCCATTCTCGTGCTAGAACGCACTTTGTCAAAGCCACTGAAGCCAAAGACAGGAAAGTTTCCTTGTTTAAGATGGTGTGATATCATTCCTAAATGTAAATTGGAAATTGGCTCCGAACAGACGCAGTTGGCAGACTGAAAGTTTGCGGCTACTTTCCAAGTCAGACCTGAGAGTGCCAACAGAACTAGTCTCTGGAGTGCAGTCTCGTCAAAACAGCAGCTTTACAAATGGCGAAACTCTGTAGAGTCTGTATTTATCACCCTATAAACCTGCTTCATTTTATCTTGCTTTTTTAGAACCTTGAACACAGAAATGACAAGGATACAACTTCCTCTGGATTCTTCTGATATTGTACTTCTTTTACTGATTAAAATGACGATATCCAGTGTAGTATGTATTTCATTATACCATGTGATCTTATTGAATGTATTAAAACTGTTATGTATATCAGAATTACACATTGAGATATGCACTTCATCAGTTTCAGAAGCCCCCTCTTGTTAAGGGGAAGAGACATATTGTGATGGTAGTGTGCTTCTGGCGTGAAAAATGTTCCAGGTGCTCATGTCAAACTGGATATGGCTTAAACATCCTGTCCTGATGACAAGCTTCTGCAGTCTCTGTTCATAAAAACAGCAGGAAGCATCATTTACTCAAATCAGTAAAGATCAGGAAAGTGGTACAGTGAGGAATATGACAAGTATGGACAAGTTTCGAGCCGCTTTATAAAGAGTCTGAAATGGCCTTGACTTGTTCCTCAGTCCACCACATGACTTGCAGCCGAACAAGTGACACAGGCTAAATGGTTTCCTCCTGCTTGTAGCTTTTCTCTTGTCTTTTATGTTCTTGAAGATACAGCGAGCCCCAGTAGCACTCCATCATCTGTCCTTTTATAAACTGTTTAGAAAACCAGTTGCCACAACATGGTGTTAATCTGTGATTGTTTGATAAATGACTGTGTTCCAGACTCTCTGAGGTTTCGGCTTGAGATTGGGCCAGTGGCATGTGGCAGGATGCATGCTCCTTTGCGTGCCAAGACGAAGATGAAGTGTGCTGTGGACTAGTTCCTGTAGTCCCACTGCTTTGACTGTGGAGTCTGTCACTTTTGACATTTCCACACCAGTCTTGGCCTGCTGTGTGCCCCAGTCTTTATTATCTGAACAGGCCGTTTGCTGCCTTTTTTAAACTTGAATCTTTGTAGTGTCTACCCATTATGTGGAAAACAAGCATTGCTGTTCATCCTTAAAGCTAGTTCATGGAATGAAACAGTCCTGTTTAATTGATCTGATATACACATAGTGGCTATATTGTACTCTCAAATACTGGATGTGACGTCCAGGTTTTTATTTTGTGTTTATTATTAGTGTTGTTTTGTGATAAACTAAAATCTCTCTAAACTATTGGCAAAACTTGAATGTTACAGCTACGTATTGGTAATGGTGTTCCAATTGAATTCCTCAGGAAAAACAGATGAATATTAAATTTGCTTCCTATTGTTGTTTGGAGGTATAACCTTATCTTCCCCAAGCATTTATGTGCTACGTAATACATAACAATACATATTATCATCTACAGCACATATCTGTTTTGGTGCAGTATCAGTAACAAATTTATGTCCATTGCTTTGCTTGACCATGATGAAATAGTTGCGGTCGATACTTGATATATACAGTACTGTTCGATACATGTGTTTTTTGAACATATAATTACACTTTTAATTTACACTGAAGTGTTTTTACTTTATATCAGTGACAGAACTCCTTCATAGATATCTGGGAGGTACCGAGCTGGTGATCTCTCTAGTGTTCATCAAAAGAAATAAAATAAACGTTTCAAATGAGAGGAGGCCATTTGGTCCAACTACCCATTTGATTGTTAGTAGCCTCATGATCTGAGGATCTCATTCAGCCTTTTCCTAAAAGAGGCCAGGGTATCAGCTTCATCAACATGGCTGACTGTGTAAAACTAACTCTCTGAATCTCTCCCTTCTGTAGACCCATTAGGCAGGCATGGACCAGGTTAAAATGATCTTTCAAATTGTGAAGAGGACTTACTCCTACATTTTAGAGAGGTGGACCATTCTTACACTTTGTCCCAAGGAAAGATTCAGCCTGCCAGACAGTTATGGAATCCCTTCATTCTGTTACCTAGAACAAAGTGCTGCACTGACTCATTCTTTCTCTGTTCGAGGCAATGCTCTTTGGTTCACCTCTCTTTTGTGTGTTTTTTTTAGGGAATCTGGCGTATTCCAGTGGATGAAATTGATCGCCCGGGCAGTTTTGCATCTCATATGAACCGCTCCATTGTTCTCTTACTGGAGGTGCTATACCAGTTGAAGGACCACGATACTCTGCTCAAAGTCTCTTTCATGCTTCAAAGGACTCCAGACCAGGGAAAGTAAGTTTCTCTCTTGGATCGTGCTGTACGTATCTCATTATCTAACATTTTTAACATGTTAATGATTGCTCGTGGACATGTGTGTGTTAGTGTGGTATAGTAAACATGTAGAGTTTGATATTCCTGCAATGTTAGCTCTAATTTAAAAAATAATAAGAATAAGGTAGAGTGAATGAGACTGGTGTTTTCTCAAGCTAAAAATGCTTTTATCACTAACGCTACATGCTGCGTATGATATAAAGGCTCTACAGACTGCATATTACCAGAGTAGTCTGGTTTTGCTGGCATGCTTGCAACCTGTTGTAGGCAAAGAATAAAGATAACAGCTCCCTGAAGGTCTGACCACTGTAGCGGCGCTGTGCAATGATTTCTTGTTCTCTGTCTGTCGTTGTAGGAAATATTTACGGGATGTCGACCGCCAGGTCCTTGCCAAGAGAGCTTTTTTTCTTACTGTGAAAGTACTGGAGGAAACTCTGAACAAACTCACTGGGGTAAAACAGAATCCACCCGTGAAGCACTACATTTTAACGTGGTCTGAATAGCGGATAAACAGTGTCGCTATGGAAAGCTGGTGAACAGTGGCTTCAGAAGTTCATCTGTGATGTTTATGCCATATCTCTTTCGCTTGAAAGCTAGCTGATTTTCCTCTGCCATTCCTTCTTCCTAATTATGAAAACATTGCTCACCAAAACGCCGACCAGACTCATTTTTGTTTCGGAGAAGCAAAAACAACAACAGAAAATCAACAGGCAGGGTCATCTTAACTTACTTACTTAATCGAGCTTTTGTCTCAGAGACAACCGTTCTAAAACCCAGCTTCAAAGCTTCTGTCAGCTGTGCAAATCCTGGAAAAAAAAACTGATTTATTTTGGTTTTCTCACTTTGATTTTTTTAAGGTGTCAGAACAACCGACTTCCAAACCGCCTTCGGGGTTCATGGGGGAGATGACGACGGACGTTTCCAACAAGCCCTGCGCGGAGGACAGCAAACGACAGCTGCCCAAGAAGCCGGCGCTGACGGAGGGGGTCAGTGCGCAGAGCTTGGACAGCGGGCCGAGGGAGGGCCCCCGCGGACAGTCTCCTCAGGCCATGGATACTGCCGATCAGCAGGGTGATGACAAGCCTGGGAGGAAGGAGGCCGGAGGGGCAGAGCCGGCCAAGCCTGGGGCTGATGAGCCCATGGAGCTGGACTCTGGGGCTGGACAGTGGGGAGGGGGCGGCCGGACAGACGCCGCCTCTAAATCCCTTGAGACGGACTTCGTAAAAGCCGGCCAGGTTTCGGAGGAGAAGGCCCCTGGGACGAGCAGGGCTCCAGAGCTGTCCCTAGAGGAACTCAGCATCAGCTCCAAGCAGCAGCAGCAGCAGCAGCAGCAGCAGCTGGCCACCACAGCCAAGGGCCAGCTGACTGCCAGCGGGACAGAGCCTGGCATCGTCCGGAGACCCAGCAGGAAAAGGAAATTGTTAGAGGACGCAGAGTCCGGTAAAACGCTTCTGTTGGATGCCTACAGAGTGTGGCAGCAGGGGCAGAAAATCATGACCTACGACTTAGGCAGGATTGAGAAGATCATGTCCGAGACCTACATGTTAATCAAGCAGGTAATTCCACCCGTTTCTTTCATTGTTTATTTGCAGAAAACTGGACTGAACTCAATTGCTAGCTTCCACTTCCAGTTCTAGGAAGGTTAAAAAAGGAATGATTTGGGAACTGGCTTGAAAGAGGGAATTGGGACAGCAAAAAGTGAAATGGACACTAATAAGAAATAAGTAATTTCTCACATCTTTGGATCAGCCCCTTTAGTGCAGAAAGGGTGTGAACGCTGTGTTAATGTGGCAGTATCCCTTTGTGTAGGGCTCGCTCACAGGCCTTCCTGCAACTCCTAATCATAAGACACCTAACAAACTCATCCTTAAACAATTTATATCCATCCATCAACTTTTAAACTGCTTTATTCAATACAGGGTCTTGGGGGAGCTGGAGCCTTTCCTGGCAAGCAACAGGCATAAGACAGGATACACCCTGGACACCACACACATGTACATACAACAGGGCCAATTTTCCTATAAGCTAATTAACCTACTTGTACCAGTCTTTAGACTGTGAGAGGAAACAGCACCAGGAGAAAACCCACATTTGAGGAGCTCATACAAACTCCATGCAGTGGGCACCCCAGAAACTGAACCCAGGGCCACAGCACTGTGAGGTAGCAATGCTAATCAATGCATCACCATGCCACCACCTTCACACAGCAGTTCGGAGTATTAAGGCTTATTCAGGAAGCTGAGATTCCCAAACAAACAGCCCATAGTTGGTACCAGCGTCACAAGTTAGAGCTGAGAACAGTCAGCCAGGGCTCTCTCTGCTTTCCCGGCTTCACTCCTGCAAATCCCTGGACAACTGCAGGCCTCCAGTTCGGTGTTGCCCGTCCTGTTGGGCTGTGGAGCTTGCAGCATGTCAAGTAATGAATGAGCAGCCGTGTGGTTGGGCGTGCTGGAGGGGGTCTTACAGGCTGGTATTGTGGTACAGAGCATCCTCTAACAAAAACTGGTTGGGTACGTCACAGAAAAAAAAAATTAATGCCAAAAATCAGTCGACAATAAAATCGGTCTCGTTCAGATTTGCCGCACCAGTTGTTTTTACAAAGGTAGGATCATGCCTATAGGTATTAAATACTTTTGTGCTTTTGTTTTGAGCCAGGGTGGTTTCTAATGTACATGAAGGTTACACACATGAGAAAAAAGAGATTCGGCCTTTATAGTTCTTTTGGTTGCTACTTGATGCTGGCATCACATATCCTGCATGAAATCTAGCCTGTTCCAAGAATCTCTGCATTGGAAAGGCTTACTCAGACCAAGTAGGAAAAATTGCAGTATAGTTACAGTATATACTATCAATTGTCTTAATATTATTGTTGTCCAAACTCTGAACTTCATTTTATGGTGTTATTTCATTGACACAATTAGATTAATTTACAGTCACAGTGTGTAATTAGTTATGGAAAGAAATGCTTTGAAGGCAACTAATTCCCTAACATTAAACATCTTTCTTCTGGTCCTTTACTTTGGCTATATTCCTTCTTATTGTGATGTTTCACATTTCATCAAAAGTGGAATACAGAAGTGTTCACTGAGCCTCATTAGTAATTATTAATTTTTGGAATTAGTTTCACAAAATTAACACACTGACACATATAAACACATTCACAGGTAAACAAATTGGTTTGTGGTGTTCATTTTTTGCCAAAGGATATATTTTTCTTCCATACATGCAGACCTTTTTACATTACATATTTAAGCATTTTACTTTGGTAGTGCTGTTTGGTTCTCAGAATTAGTAGGAGAGGGTCACAGAAAGTGTGTATATGCAGCCACTCATTACAACAGTACATAATAAACCTCGTGTCATTGATGTAGTGTGCTGTGATCTATTTGTTACATGTCTCCTGCTCATTTGAGGTGTGAAAGCACTCCCACTAACAGTGGGAAGTTACTGTCGTGGAAAATCTGGGGAAACCCCCAAACATATTATTTGCTAAAAGTCATTTTCTGTGGAGAAACGGGCTTTCCGGCAGACACATTACTTATTTATTGTCTCCTTAAACGGTATTTAAAAGCGATCATTGTCGGGGAAATAGATAGTTATACGTTTAAGCAGTGTGTATGTATTTAGAATTAAAGATAATAGATATAGAACGGAAGTGAAAATGACTCTTGCGCAACTTTTTGAAGTTTGTTTTAAGGGAGAACCCCTGTGCTTTTGACAGTCGTATGATATATTTGACATCACTTTATCTGTTTCCTCTGCTTTTTAATATGTCTGTATTTCCACCACGGCAGAAAATGAGGTCTACAACAGCATCCTGGATTTTGGGTCTTTTGATGAAAATTAGTCTGTAGTATTTTTCATAATTGTTCTTTTTTAATCTAGCTTTGTTAGAGATGCTGAAAGCGAACTCTACAGGTCCAGATAATTAAAAAAACAGTGTCTTACAAATAATGTTGGGAGTTTCTTTTTCAGTCATTTAAATTGCTGACATTTTCAGCACACGAAGTTGACTGATCAATGAATGTAGGAGGAAATGCTTTGAATTGCGTAACTGCACATGGCTTGTTCAATACTGCCACACAGATCTACAGCAGTTTCTGCAGCTCTAAAGGGCTTTTGGTTAAGGCCAGGGTGTCATGTTCAGCCGCTCATTTTTGATCTACCAGTTGACATACTACCACACTAAACCCTAGGTGGCCAATTTATTTTAGCGGAGACAAAATTAATTAAAAACCACCCCTGCTGTTGGGAAAACATTCACAGTCATAAGTGGGGAAAACAGGTCAGAAGTTTCATATTTTTGCATTCTGTACCTGAATGAGGTAAGATGGCTGGTGAGAATTTTCTAAGTATGTTGCTGGCTTTGAAGCTGCAGCTTATTTAGCTTCTCCTAGTTTTCTCTTGTTGGGTTTATTTTTCACTTCCACTGGAGAGACCCGCTGTTGATTCAAGCTTTTGATTGTCTGCTTCTTGTTCTGCATGTCTTATACTAGCCTTCTTGGTCACAGTGTGCTGTATGTGACAAGGAACCTGCTGCCCCTTTTTATATCTTGAGTTAATTAGTACAGTAACTAATGAAACAACTGATTTACCTACATTACAATATGGATGTTATCTGCTTTCCTTTCTTAAGAAGCACTGTCAATATTTTTTTATCTAATTGCTCTGTCCAGGTGGGGCACCACCACTAAACGAAGATTTGATTCACTCAGTGCGATCCATCCCGAAACTCGTTCAGAAACACGCTGTCAAATTGATAATGTTGTGTCTGAATCATGTTAAGTCAGATTTCAAGAACCTTGTGCTACATGCCTGTAATTCAAATTTGTGAAAGCTACATGTCCCTTTTTCTGTACCACTGGAAAAAAACAGTTGGAGACTGATTAAGAAATCTGTGATTTCCTTCAGACACTCATCTTGTAATGCTCACGAAGGCATGTTTCAGAATCAAGTTTTAAAAATGGCATCAAAAAAAGATAACAGTGTCTCTGAAGCCCTATGTCAGATCACGTGGGTTGAAAGATTATACACATCTCATGGTTTTACTTTCATGGATTAGTGTTTGCATGTTTTATGATTTCTCTTGGCTTAATCTCAAACTGTTTGCCAGTATTTTACTGTATAAGCTAAAACCAGAGAATTGCATGTTGTTTGTATTTGTACATTTATTTATCTGTAAAGGAAATAGATTATAAAGTCAATTATTTAACCACAAGTCCTCCAGTAAGGTTCGTTTTCTGTAAGCTCACCAAGGGTCGGTTTGTTAACTCTTGACCTATAAAGGGTTTCTGCTCCCAATGATTCGACTGTTTTGATACTTTCATTTTTAAGCTTTTTATATGGGGTCAACTGAGATAAACAGTATCTTATAGAAGGTCGGTTAAATTCTGAGTATACTTAAGCAATATGAAAGAGAAATCTCTCTATTGCTGGAAGTAGAACAAGAACTAAGAAATCTCTGAGTAATTGACAGCTGAACAATTTTTTCCACCTTTTTTTAATACTTTGCATGAATTGAAGTATCCTGGGAAAGATTATCTACCTGGAATCGTTAATACTTCTATCGACATTACAAATATCCTCTCTGACCTGAAAGTATTCCAAAATGAGACATATATTGATTTGAAGGCAGTTTCACTTTTGATTCTGTATATTTAGAAATTCTTCAGCTGTTTGGCTATGTCATAGTTTTCTGCATTTGTTAAAATCTGTGGTCAGTGGATAGACATAGAGGCTGTGAGTGGTTTGGCTTAATGCATAGTACGTATGTATGTTGCATGTAACAGATGTGCTGTATTGTTATCTCCAGTGTGTGTGAGCACTGATGGGTGTTGCTTCTGTGCAACTATTACAGAGTCTGCAAAACAATCTAGCATAGCATGTCCAGACAAGTATATGACAGAACAGAAATGAAAATTATTGTCAGGTTCTGGAACTAGGTGAATTTTTTCTTATGAACCGAATGTTTACATGCTTAGATTTTACTGTGTTGCAGTATACGTTTTAGTTTACGATTGCATTTTTTTTTTTGGCTTGCTTGATTGTGTCTATTGATTAAACTCTAGCTCCTGGCAAGAGAAGAGTTGGCTCAAAGAGGAGATTGAACAATTTTGTCATCACAGTACTTTGCCATCATAAATGGAGTGCAGATGGTGATGAAAAGTTAATTCAGTCGGGTTTCTGTGGGAGGAACAATTGGAGTTAGCGGATTGCATTAAAAAAAGCAGCCAACCTGTTTACAGAATTAATGAAAGTACAGCCCAGGAGTGAAAGAATGCATTATTTGTTATAGAACTCGCTGACAGATTCATGCTGATCACAACTCCTCTGCTTCTCAACCTCTTTCAGCTCTCACGTTATCTAGCATATGGAGGAGAACTGTAGATTGAATGTTCAGTGAAATAGTCTGTGGGCATTGAAGACTAAAAGCAGCACAACTGCTGTATAATAGGAAGCCAACATCTTGGAATAACTTTGCATTCGTTGCGTTGTTTGCATAACACTTACTGTCAACTTTCAGTTAAATAAAAATACTTGATAGGAAAGATTCAGACAGCCAGTTTTCTTTTTTAGCATTTCAGCACAATTTCAGAGTCTTGACTACACAGACTTCTTATGCAAAATTAGGGTTGTGCCCTTTATTTTAAGGGAACATAAATGCTTTAGAACAAACTGTGTATTCAGACACATTCTCTTTGCATTATATTGTCTTTAGAAAACACAGATGTTACACTGTTACGTGTCATGCTCTACACCAAGTAGAAACCTGTACATCACAGTTGAGCTCACTCTGAGCTTTTCAACCTCAGAAATGCCATGCTCCCTGAACAAGCACAGGTTTTGGGATATGTAGTTGTCACACATGGATGAGGGCACTATGAGAATATGCTGTCGTGTTGCTTTGCTGTTCCTTATCTGAATGCCTGAAGCAGCTGGAGGAACTGTTTCCTTGTGTCTGATGGGATTACTGGTATTACTGCACAATCCATCTTTGTAAGTTCATAATTCTGTCTCTCACTGTATAGGCCTATGCATTGTTTTGGCCTCTTCTATATTCCTTCTACCTCCAGACGTTTACACAAATTAAATCCTTTTTTAGGCTTTTGACTGCTCAGTATTTTATGTAAACATCTATGTCAGGTTTGAGCTTTTGACAAAGTCACTGATCCAAAGGTTTATTCAATCGCCCTACGCTGTAAAACCTAACGAGGATTGAAAATCAATGAAGGCCAACAATAAGGCTTTTAATAGAAAGCAGTTGAGTGATTGTGAAATAGTGACTTTGGATATATATTCTCTGAGAATGGTATTTAATTAAATTTAATGGTTTGGGATAATAAGGTGATTTAAGCTTTTAATGTATTAGCCATGAGTCCTCAAATTCTCAGCTAAATCCTCTTCTAGGCCTGAAAATACTTACAGTACATACCGCAACATTACTGTAATCCAGGCTTCAGCTGGACTTGAATCAGAGAAACGTTTTCAAAATCTAAGATCTAATTAAAAGCAGTGCAGCCATTATTGGGACAGGTTTAACAATACAAAATCAAGTTATTGGGTCCAGTCCTCCGGTGCTGGACAGTGAAAGTCCCTGAAGGGTAGGTAGGTTGTAATATGTTGATCTGGGGGTTGCAAACAAGGAACAGTCCTGAAAAGTGTGTAGCGCTGTGAATTTTGTGTTGTGCAGCGGAGAGCAGAAGAGGCAGCACAGATTTTTTAGATGAGTGTGCTGGCACCAGTTGAAACGAACTGGGTCCCAGAGGGAGGGAGGCGGATGGACTGCTCAGCACTGGAGACTGCCTGAGAGCCACGCAGACCCACTTCTTTAATTGGTGGGTGGAGGGGATTTTCTGTGAAAGAGGCAGAGTGGGAATGTGTGATCAGACATAATAGAGATGTCAACCAGAAAGCCGAGGCTGTTTTCTGTAGGAACTGCCAGCCGAAGTAAGCTGATCCGTAAATTGCCAGAAAAGATTATTCCATCTTTTAAATTGCGTTTACTTTGACGGGTTAAAAAAACATTAATCAGAGATCTTCTACTGATTTCCCTTCACGTTAGCCTAGTTGTCAGTTTTTTTTGTAATTCACTCTTGTCAAAATTATTCAAATTCTAAAATGCCTTTAATCAGGCCTAGCAAGGAAGGAGATGTGAGTGTCTTTGAGGAATTCAGAAATCTTGCAGGCAGCAGTTCTTGAATTTTAAGCTTTAACCACCTCCATTAGTGTCATTCCACCACCTTCCCACAAATAACAATGTGAATTATATAATTTTACGAGGCCTGTGAGTCTTTTATTCCCTGTTGAGTGGAGTGGAGTGCTGTGATAAGGAATTCAGGGTGTTCCTTAAAATTCCTGTATCTCAGCTCCACATTTTTGGTGTCTGTTGCCAGCAGAAGACAGGAAACTTTAGAACCTCTAACATGCATCTGCCTGTTCTATTAACATTCCTCATGCTGTACAAACATGCACAGCAGCTCGTATAATTCAGTGTCATTGCTTATGCATGTGTGAAGTGGGAAGTGCCTGTTGAATGCGTTAAAAACACTGTGTTGTAGACTGCTCATGTGTTTTAATTACAGCTTTGTGAGTTTTCAGGTTTTCTTGCAAAGGGTCATCAGGCACAGTTTTTACCAGTGTCCCAGTTCAATTGGTCTTTTTTGTACAGTTTAATTCTGTACAACTTAAGCTCTTACATCCTTCACTCTGGGATGTCTTCTGCAATTCTGAAAGACTTGCCTTTTAATCGTCTGCTTTATAGTCATGTGTTTTGATGTTGCTTGTTGATGCAGTGTGTAAATGGCTGTATTAGAGTGCTTTTTTGATTGCTACATAATGAAATCCCATTGCAGGGAAGTAATTTTCAGGCTAAATAATTTGGTATCCATGTGACTTAATTTGTTTAATAAGTATGTTAAAAAAAAAGAAGAGACTGGGAAACTGTATGTTCCATTTTTTCCTAGGCCTGTCCTCTTTTATTTGGTTCTCATTTTTTTAAGTTAATGAATGTGTGGGATTTTGCCTGCTCACCCATGTTTACAGCTGTTGAAGTTCTTGCCCCTAATATTTAATACTTAATATTAATACTGTCAAAAGGTTCATGCATGTTTGATGCAGGCCATTTTGCTTCTTGTGCAGATTTTTTATGAGTAGTAAGTAGACCATTACAATTTTGATTACAGCCCCAGCCCTCCTTACTTCCAAACCAGTGATGATGGGCAAGTGTCCTCTTCCTAAGTATCTGAAATATGGTAGCATGGGTTAGATATCTGTTGCCTGCTTCATTGTTTACGAAAACCCTTAGTAAAGTTGAAGAATTTGAATACAGCTGTTTCTTGCACTACATGTGAGAGAGATGCCTGTCTCTGTCTTCAGATGTGTTTTTTTTTCTGCCTAATTAATATTCCAACGCACAGCTTGAGGATGGCTGGTGCATTAAAATACTGTGTATCACAAGGGTCCAAACATTAATATCAAAGTGCAGGGCTTTTAATCTTTTATTTATCTCCTCCGGCAGGTCGATGAAGATGCGGCCTTGGACCAAGCAGTGAAATTCTGCCAGATACAAATGGCTACAGCAACACAGAAACAGGTAGGGTGACCTCTCTTGGCTGTACATATATTCCTCTTTATTGAATGAGCTGGGCACCAAACTTGATAAAATGCAATTGGGGGCAAGGTTAGATCCGAGGTGGCCCCTTCATTGATCCACCAGCGGGGGAAATGAATCATAAGGCACCGCCACAATTTTGGGGGGCTTGAAGGGAGACACAAGGAAGACTGAAAACAAGAAGCCATCCATCTTGTTGATTTTAACATTTTAAAACTCAAAGAATGTCATTTCCTGCACATCTCAACGCGCCACCTAAGAGTCATCTTCAACGTCATGGGCGAATGCTTTTTCCCCAATCACCCACGATGCTTTGTGTACATCAGTGAGACACGCTGCTCCCTCTAGTCTACAAATGTCCACTAAGACGGATTCAATGAGTAGGTAGACTAATTATCAGAACAGCATACGTCCCACTCTCGAATTGAGCAACACATTCACCACCTCCAGTCCTCCAGTCCGTACATTCCTAATTAGTGAGTGCATCTGTGTTTATGCTTACACACATGCACTGTGTAAATAAAGCGTAGCACAGAATTAGCACTAACTGGGCAAGTTCTTCTGCGCTGGGGGGTAAAGCGTCGGCTCTCTCCATCTCCCCTTGCCTACCGAGTCTCGCTTGCCACTGTCACATCCCACTGCAGCAGACATTTCTTCCGTCGCTTCCAAAGCAAGCCGTCGCCGACTCTTAATCACAGCGGCTCCACTGCTTTCAAATGCTGAAGCGCAGACACAACAAAAGGAGGGGAAAAAAAAGCAAAAACCAAAAAGAAATCCAGGTCCATCATGCAAAGCAGGAGTAGGAATCAAAAGCACAGAGCTGGTGTCCCGCCTGCAAAGAGGCAGGTGTCAGTGAGAGGTGTGGGAGCGTTTGTCCGTTTTGTGAGCGGCAGCTGGGAGTCCAGCTGGTCTTTTTACCCAGTTCTAAAGTTTCTCTGTTCAAGAACGTTTCCTCTGCGGCTCAGGCCGGTCTGAAGCAGCTGCATTGTTGCCGTTGTTATGAAAGCCATCGGGCCCCGAGATCTCGTTTCAAACCAAATTACGTCCCATTATAAATCTTGGTCTGAAACCATCCATATGATCAGAATACACATCAATATGGACCTCTGGGGTCTGGGGTTCAAATCCTGGGTGGGACTCTGCTGTTGTTCCTTTGAGGAAAACACTTTACTCAGACTGCTTCAGTCTTACACCAGACTTACTCAGATTCTCCAGTCTTACACCAGACAAACCACATGGGCAAGATGGGCTCTTCTCACCTGTTACCATTCTGAAGTTCACAGTATATTCTCTGCTGTATGAATGGTTCTCCAGTGTTTCTTTTTCATTCCTTTATACTACCAGGTAAAGCATTTGAAAACAAATTCTCTTTTACATCGGATATTTGTATTGAATGATTTATCTTCCAAAGAACTGTCAGGTGGTCTAAATTATATCTGGCTGAAAATTAACACAGATTTCTGGGCACATTAGGAGAAGTTTATAGGGTCTTCTTTTAGCTTTGTTTCAGTGAGGGAAGGCAGATATGATTAAAAGAAAACATCTGAACATGAATACTTATAAAGCATCTTCATAGAACATATTTCTGGAGCTGCTGAAGGGCTCAAGCACCATTGGTTCTTGTCTAACATAGATCATAGTTCATGATCAAGGGTTCGAATCTCTATCACGGCACTAGCCGACTGTGTCTGGGTGGTGCTGAATGTATGGATGAATGATGCTGAGGGCATGATGGGATTAAGCAGCCTGAGCTCTCCCTACTCCCAGTGATAGATTGTCACTGGTAGGTATAACAAGAATAATTGCAGATTTTAAATGTAAAAAAGAAATGTTTTCTGTCTGAAACAAAGATGATATATGTAGTGAACCTAAAGTAGGAGGAAGAGAATTAAATAGAATTGGTAACAAGTTCTTTAACCTAACAGAATACCACGGCTATTTTCACATCTTATTCAAGACACTATTTTATCATAACATGCAGTATTTATGTTGAGGAAAGATGAGTGACAGTTTAAATAATGGCAGTTTGTGGTTGCTTCATCTGCCTCTGCTGTGCATTGAAACTTAGCAACTGTTTGGGTTGAGGGGGAGGTCTCTTTTTAACAGTCGTGTTATTATCTAAGTGTTGAAATCATAAAAAAGGTGTCTTTTTTCCCTTCTGTTATCCGATTATTAATTTTCTTTTGATCTTTAGTACAGTAAGCGTCACGGTACCATACAGTACACAGAAGGAGATCTGTGTTCACTACAGTGGTTAGCCATGGCCCTTTTGAAGTCTTTAGGAGCACGAACCTAGAGATGACTCAATCAGCCAGAGCTTTGCTCAGTGAATCCCCTTGTATGAAATCGCTCTTTGCCTTGTGAAGTGGTGCACTTCCTTTGAAACTTGTCGTTTTTAAAACCGTGAAAGTAAATGCTGGTCAATTGATATACTACTTTTAACCGATCAGTAGGGTTTTTTTTGTAGCATGTCTGTTACTATATCAGAGTGTATATATATGTAAAGGGCACATCTACTATAGTATATTATTCCCATGCAAAAAAGGAGAATCAACTCCTAAAGACTTTTTTTCAAAAAAAAAATCAGTATTTTTGTCTAGTCTACTCTACTGTGTATATGTATTATATAGTCTTCAACTATATATAAGTGTTGTTGCACTTATTTTACATTGTGTACTGACTGTGTATTAAAATGTATTGAAGCTGAAGTAACACTCAAGTCTTGCGGGTTGAGCACTACCTTTTCAATAGTGACAGATGCTGTGCTGAAAGCTCGACACATCTCTTTGTGGTTCGAAGCCAAGATGTCATTTGGCAGCAGCACCTTTGTGCATTTCCTTCCTTATGTCTTCAGTGTTTGCTCTTCCTGTTGCCACGGCAATAAACTCAAGATCAGAAGTCCCATGCATTTTTATCTGTGCTATCTTTTTGGTTTGTACAGAACATAATTAGATGGACTACTGCTCTGCATTCTTTTGCTTGGGCTGGATGTCTTTGAGATATAAAACCCCAAGACATTTTGTGTTGCTGCTTTTAAACCATCTACTGCTTTCACAGCAAATTAACATGAACTGTGAAAACAACTGCAGAATCTTTTCTTTAAAAAACTAACAGCGATGCATGAGGACAAAACTACAATTGAAGTGCCCTGTAATTGCAACCATGAATTATTTTCTCCTTAATGTACAGTAATCCTCAGCTTCGAAAAGGAAAGAAAACTGCATCACTTTACGAAGAAAACTGCATCACTTAACTGAGTGAATGAGCTCTGGGACTCATTTTTCTGGTTTTATAAATAAATAAACTCATTTCTGAAATGTATAATTGTGACCTTCCTGAACTGTAGAAGAGGGCAGTTTGTCTGTGGGTAAATGTATACATTTTAGAGTTAAACATCATTCACATTCAAATTTCACATGTGTATTTTATAGTAATAATTTTTACAGAATAGCATATTGTACCATTTCCAACATTTTCTTCCAAGTACGTTAGCCATGTTAGACAAATTCCCAGGGGAGGATGGGAATTGAGTAATTATTTCAGCCTTAACTGTGGCTGACAGGAGGCATCTGCTCATGCAAACAGGGGACTGTGTGCCTGAGTCACTGTACATTGACATGCTTTTCAGTTTGAGTAGCACTGTCCTGAAACTGTATGCCAGTTTCTTAGCAGCCTAAAGTTGAATCATGTTCACAATAGCTTTTGGTTTTGGTATTTTGGTTTCTTGGTGTGGGGCTTAGGGTTGTAATGCTTTTTGCAGGTTCTGTAATTTACTGGCAAGTATTGGCAGTAATACAGGAAACTAGGTTCCAGCGAAACTTTGGGGGAGACAGGGCAGAGGCGGCTATAGGAAGGTGTCGTTTCGGTGGTGATCTCTTTAAGCATGCCTAAACCGAGGCACCTGGAGGTATTCTGTTGTCTTGGCCTTCACTCAGTTAACATTTCAAACAGTGTTTTGCTACTTTTATAGTGTACAGTAGCTCATTTGTTTCAAAGCCAAAGTACCATGAGACATAGGCATCCAAAGCTCCATTGATTTTTTTATTCACTAATTATTGTGTGCAGTAAACCCTTCATTTACAAAGATTCAGAAAGCATGTATATAGCATATACATATATATTTCTCACGTAATAGTGTGTATTTGGGCTGAACACTTCATAATTCATAATTTAACAGACATTTGGTAAAACTGACACCCCTTCCCCTCTATCAGTATGATAAATTCCTGTCAACAGTCCTATTATGCAGATACTTTTTTATCCCATAAGAACAGTCATATGTACTGTATTGTGATGTATATTATTATAAACTAGGAATTACCTTTTCGTTCTTTCAACGCGTCTTCACAGTGAACACAGTGTAACATTGTTTTTTCTTGGTTGTGACACCAAGCAAGGCGTCTGCGTCAGGGTTATTGCCATGATTCATGGATGGGGAAACAAAGAAGTGCCTATTATATGTAAAGAACTGATAAATTTAGTTCCTTGTTTTGAAAGGTGACACTTTGTTGCATTGTCATACGATGGCATAACTGGGACAAATCTGAAAATGAAGGGCTTGGAAGAAAGACTTTAGGCTGGATATCCTGAAGATGGGCACTGAAAGTGTAGATAGTGTTTTACAATGATGTTTAGGATTGAACTAAAGAATTGTATCTTTTTTTCTTCTGCTCAGTATTCCGTGTGACAGTATTCTCATGTATCCTAGTGCGGTTATTTGAGAAAGGTTTGAATATTTTCTCATGTTCTTGCTGGGAACGGTTCCTGAAAGCATAAAGAGCTGGATGAAATCTTGACAGCTTTGTCCAGAGTAATGGATGATAGAATGATTAAGGTTTTGATTAATAAACCTTGAGAGCTTGAATAGTGTGTTGCATGTTGACGTATTGTGGTTAGAATGGTTTATCTTTAAGCTCCCAGTGACATTGCTTAAAATTCAGAAGGACTCTGTTTCTTTATTTCACAGTTGCCCTAAATTGCATTTTCTCAAAGATTTGGCACAATTTGGCAACAAGGAAGGAGGAAGAACTGCATCATATCAGCAGAACAGTAACACCATTAAAGTGCACTGCAGAGGCAAATGAGCAACAATCTGGTGCTTCCTGTTGTGTGGTAACATTGCAGCCTTAAACTGATTAAGATGACACAGAGGGCCAGATCTGACATTCTTCTTTGTTACTGGAGCATTTCCATGCACATGGCTGCTGCTATCCCAGTGGAATAGCCAAGAACATTCAGGGAATTCTGTCTCACTCTACTTTGAGATCTGTAGATGTAGATGATGCGAGTCCCTGCTAAGAAAGCTATTCAAGTCAGGCCACCTCAGTACTTCATGTGCTAGGAACCCTGATTTGTATCGCTGTGGATCAGCAAACAGTAATCCCTCCTCCACCACCCTTTGTTAATGCTTGTCATATGGTGATGCTTCTGAATTGGCAAATAAATAGGAGCGTCTGTGACTACACCAGACATCTCTCCTGTAAACTGTCATCATCACTTACTGTTACATGCAAAGTCATCATTCAGCAAGATAGTCATGAAATGAGACTCATTGTTTCCTTCACGTCGCTGCTTCGAATATAAAGAATAAAACACTTGTTTGCTCTGCTTGCCTTATTCAGTTGTTTCCTGAAACCAGGAAAAGACACCAGGCAACACTGCATATTATTAAAGAGTTAAATCTTTGTTTTGTATATTCTATTTTGTGTGCACCACAAGCTTTAGGAACATTTGATTATTATTTTGATAATTTCTGTAGTTATAGGAGCGTAACTACAGAATGTTTTCCCACCAGTTCTGTAGTTGCTTTTTAGATTGTTTATTATTCATATACTTTTAAATTATTTTCTCTTGCTTTCCAGCTATGATTTTTAATATGTTAGAGAAGTCATGATTGTTTAGGGTAGGCCATTACAGTTGCATAAAATCCATCAACATTTTGGTTTACTGGAAATTGTCCGTGTTTAGACTGTACACTGATTTCCCTATGTACTATCAGGTTATTCCAATTATACAGTCAAGCAAAACTTACTGTTTAAATTGAAAAGGTTTGTGTTTGATTTGGGCCAACTGAAAGAAAATCTGAAAACGTGGGTGTATGTGAAACTTCTCATTTATTCCCTTGCCAGGTGAATCAGTTAATTTGTCTTCCCTACAAAGTGCTGATTAATCAGTGCAGCTGTTCAGATTTAAGCCTTAGCTGCTCCAGGCAATGCTGTTCTGAACACTTCTGGAAAGAGACAGCCCAGATATATTGAATAATGCTGATGGACAGCTGTGTGCTGCTCGCTATTTTTTGAAAGGCCGCACTTGTGGGCCTGATGTGTCAGGGGGAGTAAAGCACATGGGTGTGATCATGTTACCTTACCCAGAGAACAGAGCGCTTGATTCCTCAGTTTCCGCCCTGAGCTCTCCATCTTCTTCAGGAGATGTTTTCGTGTGGGTGTACAAACCAGGAGGAGCAGAAAACAGCAGGGCAACTTTAAAGTGATGTTAATCATATAGAGAAGATGAAATGAATCCAGTGCTCGTGGGGCTTGATGAATGGGTTTGCTTGGATGCTAATAAATCTTTAGGCTTCAAGTTTGCACAGACTGTCCTGGCTGATCTTAAACTGCAGTCTCTCATGCTTCACACTGATAAATGTTGCCCAGTGACAATGAAAAGATTTGGGTTTGTATTTTTTCATTATTGTTCAAGGCTCTAACACTAAAGTTGCATCAGTTTGTGGATCTCGGGGTTCATATCGTGTTGGATGATATGAGAGCTGAAGTCTTTTAACTGCTACTGTTTTTCAAAAGAAGGGCTGTTACATCACAAGTAAAAGCCCATGTTGTGTGGATCTTTATTTTGTATACAGCTTTCAGTTTCCTATCAGGTTCTCATTGAATTATGTTCTCTCACATTGCTGCTTTCTGTAGATATGTGCAAAGTTTCTTGCATCCTTCGCAACTCTTGACTCGATTCTTTTTGCCATCCTAATAAAAGCTTGTATTTATTTTTATTTTTAAAAAGATTCATGCAAGTAAATCTTCCAACACTGAATGAAGAAAAATGCACATTTCCTCTTGGTCATACTGCACCCACTAAAAACTCAAAAAGCACTAATATTGTATCTTTATAAAAAAAAACATGAAAGCTATTTACATATCCTTGTTTTGACCTCTCGAGATTGCTTCATGTGCAATCTCTGACTGACCTATATGACATCTGGGGCAGAGGTCGCAACATCCACAATAAGTGATGCAGAAAGTACTTTAGCACCTTCTTCTAAATAAGGGTCAAAGGATGTACTCTTTACCTGGTTTCCAGGGAGCTCTGTGGTACAAGAAACGTGATGTTGCCTTCTTACCATGAGAACTTAATGCTGTGTAGTTCATTATGTAGTTATTATGTAGTTCTTTAACATTAAAGCAATGCTGTAGATTGAGGATACAAAGCAGCTGTTTCAAACACTGCTTAAGAAACAACAGAAGGCTTATGTAACTTACCTTGGTCCTGTACCTTGAAGCCCTTTCGTCGACTTGAAAGGCTAGGAGATCCCAGGATAGAAGCCTGGCTCAGACATCGCCATCCTCCTTTTCCCAATTTAAAGCTATAGAAATAAAGAGAAGCTTCCTGCCAGATTCTTATCACTGCCCTCTAATAAATGAACCTTCTAGGTTGTTCTGGCAAACGTTAAAATTGATTTGGTTTCTCAATTGAGCCTCTTTACTTGGTAAACAAAATAAAAGGGTGAGAGCACAGGCTGCAATGCTATTGATTTTACCCTGACAGAACAGGAATCTGGAATTATGAGGGATGTCTTGCTGTAGCTCTGATACTCTTTAAAGCCTGAATTAATATTACTTTATTACTTGTCGTACAGTATATGCAGCTGTATTCTTGGTGATACTTTGTCCTCCATAAACTATGACATTTAGCCTACTTAGGCAGACTTTGAGAGTTGAGTAGCAAATTCATGGAGAGGAAGCAAATCGGTGGTCTGCAGTGGTGTTTGTTCATGAAAAATGAAATTCTATTTCAGTGGGAAATTGGGAGTTGCTGCAGTAACTTTGGCAGTGTAAAAGTAAGCAATTTAAAAGGGGGGGGAGGGGGGGATGAGGGGACATTACGGTCTCTTCCAGTACACACTTACTGTGCTTCTGTCTATTGCAAGAAATCCATCAGTTTATACTGGGGTTGTGCTGATACGAGAATAAAAACGGTCTGTTCTCTTTTTTTTCTTCTTTTTCTAAGTGTCAGAGTGCTGCGGGGTTTAAATCACTTGGTTAATTCCAGATCCATTAAATCTGCAGGTGTTATTAACTTTTGCCACAGGAATGGCTTTGCTCTGCTGCGCGAGGGTCCAGATTTGATTTTTGAGTGAACTGACTGAGGTACTTTCTTCAAAGCTAATGATTTAGAAGTGGATTTGTCTTTAGATCACTGTGGGGTATTCGGTGTAATGAGCGGCTGTCTCCATCACTCTTCCAAAACGAATTTGTTAAAACATTTTCTCAAATGTTTTTTTAAACAAACGTCCTTAAATGTTTTGCCAGTTTAGACAGGGATTAAACAGGTACTGTCATTTTAGTGTTTCAATTGCCAATGCACCGCTGGAATTGTGATAATTAAGGGATCAATTCTGCATATATGTGTGACTTATAAAGCATATAAGGTGCCCTGTAAACTACTGGATTTTAAAACTGCAGCAAATATTATTTGGAAACCATACTTTCAATGTATATATGAAAGATAAGTGAAGATTGAAAATTTCAGCTCTTTTACCACTGGCTGATATTTTCTGCATCAGTTTCTTTTCATTTACAAAAGGCCATTTATTGAAAGAGGGACAATTACATCTTTTTTTCTGCTGAATTAACAGCACCAGCCAGCAATAACCTGCATAAAAATCTACTTTTTGTTAACTCGGAGACTAGAGCCAGCGTGCATCCATTTTGTTTGCTGTTTTTGCATTTTCCTTGTTGCCATGGCACCCCATCTCTGAGCTCTTTGGTTGTTGTTACAGGTTGTCCATGTAGCCTTTAATTATGAGTAGTCCTTAAAAGAAATACAAAAAAGTGCCAGGAAAGGACAGATGAGTCCTTCTCTGTGTGCTTTCTGAGCCCTGACAAGCCATAACTCTGGCTCTTCTCTCAAGAGCTGAAGGTGTTGCTTTCATAATATAAAAACGACTAAGTGGGTAAGCTTTGTTTATCAGGCCAGGTCAAACAGCCTTATTTGTAAGACTTTTCGCGCTCTTGACAGATAGAGTTGCTGTTCTTTCCTCAAACTGTATAAAAGACATTTACTAGGTTTTTTATTGCTTTATTCCTGAACAGCAGAGCGACATGTATGTATGTGGACATGGAGGGGTTGTTTTGTTTGACAAATGAATTGCAGTCTCTGATACATCTGGTAGGGGTGTCTGAAAATGAACAGTTATTTAAGTTGGATCCTATTTATTTCTTTTAGGAGAGATCACTGGTTTTACATGATCAAATACAACTGTTAGTCACACTACTCTGTTGAGAATCATGGGGTATTGTTTAACGCTTGGTAGTTGGAGATCTTATTTCATTAAGCCTACCTTTAAAGGGTGAACAAAGAGCATTTTTTGCAGTTTCTGTACTTTAAGACCTTGGGAATGTTGATTCTCATCTTGACTCAGTTCAACAGACGTCCCAGTAACTTCAGCAAAGCATTCGTCTTCGCCGCATCTGGCATTACATCTCATCTCTTCCCCTGGTCTTGATTTCAGTCAGCAGGAGATACACCCACCACGCCCAAGCACCCCAAGGAGCACAGAGAGGTCTTCTTCCCAACCGCACTGACGCCCCTGCTGTCCACTCCCACGCAACCCCAGGGTGGGGTGCAGGAGCCCTCCCCGTCCCAGGACTGCGTGCCCAAGCCGAGCTCCGACCTACCGCCCAAACCACAGAAACAGCCGCCCGCCTCCTCCTACTGCCCTACCCCCGGCGCCCAGGAGCACCCCCAGATGAGACGACAGCACAGCCACCCCACCTCAGCCACAGCCTACCTCCCCCCAGCAGGTGAGTAGCTGCTGAAGGAGGCCAATGAGCCCAGCTGTGAGTGGCCCAGTCCCTTTCCCAGACGCACCAGCCTGAGAGAGCAACTCTCCCTGGCAGCACTGCTTTGGTCTTTCTTTTTGGCTATTTGGTGAAAATGGAATATCTACAAAGTTTCTGACCATACCTGTAGTTGGAATTTGTGTCCTGGGATTCATCCACTGATATCATCAGTAGGTTTGCCTCTCGCATTACTTATTGAAGGAAGAACGGGAATTAGCTAATGCATATAAGAAAAGTAATAAAATGTTGTATCCAAAAAATTGTAGTAAAGGTTAGGTGTGAGAGGAAGCCATTTGGTCCAAAGTCCTTGTTAGTTGACTAGCTTTTCATGTCAGAAAAGGCTTTTGGCTTTTGGCTCTGGGGGCAGAAAACTGCTTTAAAAAATAAATTGACAGGGGAAACATTCAGATTAGATGTCACCTGACTAAATAAAAAAGGCACTTTAGTGTTTCTGGCTCTTGTTAACCATTACACTGATGATGTACTTCATACAGTACAAATTTTGCATTTTTAAAGTAGGGACGCTTTATTTAAAAAACCCAATGTGTCTACAGCATCGTGAGAGGAATAGAAATCTGTAAGTAAAAGGAATTTTGAGTGTTTTCTGTAATTGTTGACAACAACCTGTATGTAGGAAGGTTATTCTCAACTATCTGAGAAGCTGTAAGACTCAAAGACATTGTATAGAACAGTATCCCAGCCCCATAATCTTAGTGATTCCTGATATTAGTTTCAAATATCCTAGCAGCCACATGTAGAGTTGTAATTGGAAGAGAAAATGGGCCTGGAAATAAAACATTTGTACTGGTAGCTTTCCTCAGTATATTTGATCCGTGTTAATGACAAGGCTCTGTCTTCCTTGGTGTCCTTAATGAAGAGAAACAAACCAAAAACCAAAAATCAAATAAACCTTAACAAGTGTGGATGATTAATGTTGACTTAGCGTGGGACTCCTGCTAAGTAAAGACCAGAAAAAAAGGTCCAGGCTTGTACACCTGAGGATATTTTTGTTCATTGCGTTTGCTCAAAGCAAACCATTAAACAATAGCTTTGAACATTAGAAAGGATGCCTGTTCACAGGTAGAGACTGAGTGCAACACGGTCATGTTATGTTTTTCTGTGACTGCAGATATGCAGGGGAACTTGAAGGATATGATTCTGTAGGGACCTGTCCTGCTTGGTTCCAGTCCAAACCCTGTACTGCACCTCTTCTCTTGGCTTCTTGCTTGATTTCTGCACAGCTGAAACCTTCCCTTCACTCCACTGCACTGTTCACTGTGCTTTTATTCTTCATTTTTTATTCTTCATTTTATTCTTCACTGTGCTTTTATTCTTTTGCACTTTGCTTTTCTGGGAAGGGACAGAGCATTAAGTAAATAAGTTCAGACTACAGAAGTTTAACATTGGTAGTTTTTTAACCTAATGCTTTTAAATAATTCCATGTTTAAAATTACACTTTAGATTCCTATTGGCTTGTTATGTAAAAGGTTATGTATTAATCATTAGCAAAAAATGTTTTTAGAATTTGGAGCCCTCTTTGTCTCTCTTAGAGGATAGAGTAACTCTACTTACTAGCTGCACTATCAGAATGGGTTATCCCTACATCTGTGCTGTATCTTCACTTTCATCTGCAGGGGACGTGACCACAGTAATGCTCAAGTTCTTAATAAGTGACCAAAACACTTAACTGCTTTCAGATCATAGATGATCCCTTTAGTGTCTTGTACTTTCCAAATTTGATGTGTGTATCCCAATTAAGAATTTGAAAACTTCTAGCCTTCCACCATGAATCAACATTTTATTCAAAAAGAAAGTTACTAAAGTAAATTCTTTAAACAATGTTATTGCTGGGGAAAAAATAAAGTCTTGGATGTATCTAACCTCAGTTTGGGTGCTCCACCTGCTGGTAATAAGAGTTAACTCCTTTTGCTATGTATGCTTTGTTTAGGAGGCTAATTTCACCAAGTTCATAATTAGACATAATTTCACAGTACACTGCTCTAGACTGGTTTTCTTTAAAAAGTTATCAACAAATACGAACTGGAAACAAGATTTTTTCAACTTTAAATGGCTGTTTATGTTTTGAGTAGTTGAACAGTAGCAGAGCATCTTGAAAGTTCTATTTCACAATAGAGCAGATGCCTGGCCTTCAAGGTTGTTTATTGGCATGTTTACTGGCATGTTCTGAATCCTTGAACACTTGTGCCTTGACATGCAAAGCATGCACTCATTAAGCACATGAAGCATGAAGCACTCATGGTTCTGTTCTGTGCATCTACTATAAGGCCAATGTACAAATCCCAAGCTTCCTGAAGGTAGATGAATTTGAATCCAGACTTTGATCACTGAAACAACGCTATAATGAAACAAAACCACAGTTTTATATGCATTCTTGATTATCAACTTGACTTTCGTCATTTATCACAAATACAAACCATTCTACAGTATGCATGTAACGCCAAATTCCAGTACTAAAGTGATTGTATTTACCAATCAGAATCAATAAACTTTGGGGGGAAATGTTTTTTTTTACAAGGAGCTATAAGTTTGGCTTCTATTATTTTTAGTGCAAGTTTCATTAAATCAAATTCCTCATATGACTTTTAAATATTAACAGCTTGGCATTTTCTTTTCCAAAGTAGAAGGGCCTAGATCTATTTTATCAAGCCAGTCCTTTGAGAACTTTGTTTGTCAGGGCTTTAGGTTTTGGCATTAATTTTCAGTAGCGTTAACCTTCCAATGAAGGATATTAAGACATGATATGTTCCTGTTTTATTCCCCATTTTGTGTTAGCTTCTACGCCTTTAAAAAAAATAGTTCCTCAGAAAGCTTGTGCATCTTCTTAATGACGATGCCATTAGGCGCCAATTTCTCAGCACACTTACAATCTCCCATTAAACCTCATCCAACTAATTAGGTGACATATATAGGCTATTGTATGTGTTGGCTCCAACTGAAGTTTGCTGAAGGCAGGGGAGGAATTAACTAGCTGCAGCCATTTAAATGTATTAAAAGCAAGTAAGTAGGCAAGGATATTGATTTTGAGGACAGATTCTCTACCCCACACACAAACACACCCTCAGCTCTTCACACACACACATGCAGTGATACTGAAGAGAACAGAGCTGAACATTTGGACACTTGCTACTGAAAGCGCCAAATAATGGTTACCCTGGCAACACGGAGACCGAGATCGGCAGTGAGTGGATTATTACATTTGCTATTAGTGCTGTACGAAAGCACGCAGAGGATGAGATTTTCTGCTTATGCGAAAGCACAGCGAGGATGGGATTGTCGTGAAGCAGTATATGTTTTATTTAATTGGCTAAGCAGTCGTGTGGAAATGGTAAACTGGATGACCCATTGTCAGAGCTGGCTCTCGGTTGAGATAGCTCCTAAGCTGGCATGGGGGACCAGGTGCACTCCTTCAGAGGCAATTATAGAGTTACCTTTTTGTTTGGAGTTCTGACGGCTGCTTAACAGTGAGCAAGCCTGCACCCTCATGATTGATTACATCCTGAAGAAGTCAGGCCATCCTCTTTTTGTTTGGTTTTGTTTTTCTTGTGTGCTGGCAACTGGGTACAGAGTGATGACGCTGGCATCAAAGAAGAGCGTCTGAACATTATGAAGTCCTGAGTTCACAACACCCCCATTAAGTGGGTTTTGAATACATTCCAAAAACTTTAAGTCTCTTGTATCATAATCATAGCACATTTAACTTTTGTGTTAGTGTTGCGTGGGTATTGAGATATTGTGAATGTACTTTGTTCTCTTTTAACATATTTATGTAAAGATGATATGCAACTACATTGCTACAGTTATATTGTATAAAGTGAAGAAAACTGAGTCTTGACATTTTGCTCTTTTCATTTTCATAACCCCTAGACATAAAGCCTGCGCACACTAAGAAATAGCTGTCTTTTAGAGAGGAGAATGGATGCATCATTACTAAAGTGCTGTGAAGTGCTGCTTTTCTTCATAAACTGAGAATTCTTTTCCTTTCTTATCTCATTTTACATTTTGGCATACTGGCACTTGATAAGTTTATTTGTGAGAAACATTGTAGTGCTTCCAGAGATGCTATTAAGAGTCCAAACTGTATTTTTCCCCTTTATTTCTATTTTGTTCCATTTAATATCTGCATACAATAATGAGTTAATGCTCAGTGTTCACAATTATGCTTTAATACTGTCTTCATTTCCAAGTAAATGTTTACTTGTTTTTTTGTTTCCTTGAAGCCAACACATACTGATGCAGCACCCTGTTAGAACTGACTTAATTTCTTAATTTACTGTTTTTTTATTGTTAGTTGCCAGCAGGATTCATCATAAGAACATGACGTTCAAGACTTGGCAACCTTTCTGTATTATAATTAAAATAAAATTAAGAAAAGTGTCCGAATTCATAAGACAGAAGTAGATTTGTTCTGTGGATATGCAAGATGAACATGAAGGGATTGAACAAGTGTATAATGAGAGTATAACTTGCCAATTTTATTTCACATTAGTCCTTTGAATTTAACTTAATTTATGCATTTCTAGTGCCATCTAATGGAGGTATATTGAACTGCTGGAAAAATGCCCATCGTTTTTTTTTTACATAACTTATTAATGTGAAATTTCATCAGGGTCTTACAATGTCCCTGATATTCTTAATCTTGCCTGTGCTACTTTTCTTTTCACCTCATGACATTGCTTTGAGTTAATAGTCATGAATGTCAAGGGACTGGCGGGAGTTTGGATGAAGTCTTGCCCAGGAACTTCAGGGACTGGTGACATGCAGTAGCAGTTACAAAGGCTTTTTTACAAGGATGTAATGGGTTCAAGCTTCGACTCGGCTGCTGTCTTGTTCCAAGTGGAGTTCTGCACCTTTTAGACGAGTTGTTATATTGAGGTCTGGCTGCAGTTGCCTGTGAAGCCTCCACTGTTGATGCACACTGCAGTCCGTACCTGCTAAGTGACTCATTCATCCTCATTCACTCCTGATTGTGCAACCCTGCCCTGACAGAGATGCACAATACCACTTGATCCAGGGATGTCTCACACAAACCAGGCCCCCACTCTGCTGACTTCCTGATGCGGACTGATATCCTCTTCAGGGCCTCTGAGTCTTCAGCATTTTGTGCTTAAAAGTAAACAGAAGAATTTGTTGAAATCCAGCTTCATATTAGAACACAGTGTTCAGAAACAGACTACAGAAACACCAACGCTGATCATTCCCTGTGTGGTGTGGGAGCCTTATTGACTGCCTGTGTTTCTGACTGTGTTTCCGGCGGGTTGTCGTCATCTCTCTCAGGTGAACCAGCAGAGGAGCCGCTCGAGGGACTTGGCTACCGGCAACAGGAATCCCACCTGTGTCAGCAGATGAAGATGGCCACCGTGTCGCCAGGGCAGGAGTCCCATGACTGGCACAAGGAGAGTACCTTCACCCAACAGGAGGGTGTGGGCGACCCCTCTCACTCTGCAGGGCAAGGTGAGCACACAGCCTGCCAGCCTGAAGAAATAAACCAGCTTCAGCTTTTGTAACAATACCAACAAGACCATGTGCTTGTATTGTGTATTTTGTGTATTTTTAATGTATTTTTGGGAGTTAATATTGAATTCTAATGAATGGTTAAACAAAGAGGGACACTCATTACGGATGTTAACATATTTGTTTGCCTAAGAAGCTTCCTTTTTCAAAAGTGAACAAAATAAGATATGGGAAAAAGCCCATGTATTAAAAAAGTATTGTATTTTTCTGTGGCAATGAATGTGGTGATAACTGAATGTCAAGATTCTTACCTAGTTGCACTTTACAATTTACCAAATTTGAAGGATAGCATTACCAAGAAAAATAATGTAATGTACTCCCTTTTGATTTGTTTAGTCTTTGTTATTTTTGCTTTTTGTGTTTTCAGTTTAGGGTGGTAAGGGAATGCTAGCTTAACGCAGCTCAACATCCCTTACCAGCCTAACCTGCACACTCAACACCACACGTAAAACATTCTTGAACAACATACCTCCAACTCCAAACCGGACAACAGCATCCAGTGGCATCTGTCTTTTCTTTATAAAGCCACTGCAGAGACCTCATCAGACCAGCTCTCACCTGGGAGTCAGTCCAAACAGCTGGAGAGCAGTCGGATACGATCCCGAATTCCACCCAACATGCCAAAGCTCTTCATCCCTTCCACCGTCACCAAATTCCCCCCGGAGATCACGGTCACCCCTCCCACACCCACCCTGCTCTCCCCAAAAGGCAGCATCTCAGAGGAGACTAAGCAAAAACTGAAGGTACGCCCAGGTCACGTGTGAGGAAGGCTCAATGGCTCAGACGTTGCGTTTCTTCTTAATGTGTTTCAGGATGTAGTTAAACTTTACCTAGTCCCCTTTCAGGCCACAGTAGTCCGTTAAAACAGAGACAAAAATATAGTAGACACTGTACCTCTGAACATCACTTTGCCACTGAGCTGTCTAGTGGCACAGTTTTAAAATGAACATTTCTCTCTACTGCTTAGATACCTATGTAAGCATTTACTGTAATTTTTACTACTTTCATAGAATCATTTGGATGTTGTAAGCATAAAACCACTCTTGGTTCAATGTTATCAGATCCACAAGGATTCTCTCACCTGTAGTCATTTATGTTCTAACCAGCACTTGTATTTGCATTGTTTTTAGTAGACTGGCATGTCTAACATTAAAATATCAAATATGGTGTGGTTTTCCATAGCAGTATAACACAGTGTAGATTAGATCAAAAACTGGGACTGGTTCACTGTTCAACTGGGAGACATTCCCTGTGAAATCAGCCTGTGTTTTTGTTGAATACTAACTGTATACAATATCAAATATGCCTAATCGTTGACGTATAGCTGGGCTAGTGATTTTTTTCATTCTAAGACCCGTTCGCACCCAAGTTCGACGCAATGCCAGCTCCTCAAGGGGGAATGGTACTTGCACTGTAGCCTGGGTCCTCAACAAGTGCCGCTGTCCCCTGCAGAGCGCCATCCTGTCATCGCAGTCGGCCGCCAACGTGAAGAAAGAGACGCTGAGCCAGCCGGCGCTAGAGGTGCAGGAGACCTCGAGCCAGGAGTCCTCTCTGGAGAGTGACACGGACGAGGAGGAGGAGGAGGAGGAGGAGGAAGACGACTACATGGACATCTGACCCACGCGCCCTCTCACCATGGCCACAGAGCTCGCCGTGGTTGCAGCTGGGCCAGTTCCTGCTCCGCTCTGGAAGCAGCACACAGCTGCTGATCTGCAAAAAAAAAAGACTTCACAAAGACACAAGGAAAGGGGGGAAAAGCCTGTTCCTGATTTACCTGCAAAAACCAGCAGTCCAAGCATGCCTGTCTATGTCCTAATACCCCCGGTTTCCTCTCCTCTCATTTCTGACAGCAGTGTGACCCAGCAAAGTCCGAAAACACCGGCGTAGACAAAGAACTGGTTTCTGAAGACCGGTTTCTGTTCTTTCTTCATGTGTAGAGCTTTTGCATTCAAAAAAAGCTCTACCAGAGATCTGAAATGTTACCGTTTTGGCTCTGTGTTTGTGTGAACAGCTCCTCCCCTTGAATGTTTGTTTTTCAAGTCTGGACAAGTAATGCCTGGGGTTTGAAGGCTTTTACTTCTGTGTGATCTTGTCTTTTCTCTTCTTTGTGGGAAAACATCTTGATATCATATTCCTGCTGTCAAATTTAATGCTTATTCTGAATGGGCAGCTAAATAATGGTGTGTGAACTTCCTTGTGGGAATATTCAAAGTGCCATTTCCAACAGTGCAACAGGAAAGACTTTGTTTAATGTTGGTAAGAACCACTTTTCTTAATGTAAAGCTGAAAAAGACCAAACAGCATGTCAAAACCATAATTCAAATACCTAAATGAGATGATAAAGCCCTAGACTTGTTTAAAGAACCACACTTATGTCTCACCTACATTTTGCTATGCAGACACAAATCCAATGAGACTGTACAACTGTACTGTAAGTAAAGAGGTACTGTTTGAGCGCTTTAATGTACTTCGTTTAGATTTACAAACAATAAGAGCCTTTTCATAGTAAAAACAGAGCTTTTTTTTGTGGTATTTAGTAGGTTGCCCCTCAGGATAAAATGTGAAGTATTACGAGACCATAAGAGGACAGCGATGCTGAATTGGACTT